TCTCTGGTACACATGCACACATACGTATGTTCATAGGTGCAGGCGAAGAGCTTACCGTTTTAATGTTGGAATTTGGAAGTTTAGGTAACTGCAAATTAGATGTAAGAAGAAATATTATAAAAGGAAGAAAATGAGAAATTAAAATGACAGTCTATGAGTAATCGATGCAATCGGCGGTGTTTTCCTTTTATGCGGATATTTAAGCGACAGGCAATATTTTAAACAGTTAATTTGTGCTCCCCCTAAATAAAAAATTACACTTAGTGAAAGTGAAGCTTTATTGCTAAAAAACATTAGCAATTTTTCATGGCGCCCGAGCAGGGACATAGTGCAAATTAAAAATTAAATACATTATTAAAACTTATTAAAAAGTGCAAGTGAGTGCTTATATAAAAAACTAAAAGTTTCTTTTTAAATAAAATTTTGAAAAAGGTTAAGTTCAAAAATTAAAATTAAACTGCAATTGTATTAAAATACAATCAAATAAATATTTTATGATATAAATACATATATCAAAAAACCACAAAGATTTAAGTAAATTTATTGAAACAATTAATTGCCTGTCGCGGTCGTGTGTGCAAAAACAAAATACATACATAAATTGATAGTGCAGTGCAGTGGCTGAAAATAAACAAAAGCTTAAAATTTTAAAGTGTAAAAGAATTTTAAAACTATTGAATACTTACCTTGATAATTAAATTTAAAATTTTGGTTAAAAAAAGTGTGTAAAAAGTTAAAATTGTGTACATATACTTACCCTTCTAATGAAATCTAAAAGATTGGTGAAAAAATACTTAGGTACCTGTTTTAAAAAATGGTTGAAACAAACCAAATAAAAAAGATTATAGATTGATCTAAAAGTTAAAAAATAATACAATAAATAAAACAGTGTTTAAAACTAAAATTAAAAAATACATAAAAGAGAGTTATTAAGTTTTTTAATAATAGTGCAAATAGCAAAATTTACCTGCGCTCCTAGCTACACACCAAGCGTTCGTATATACAGTGGCGCACAAAACTATAGCAGTGTGAAACCTGAAAATAAAAAATTAAATTATTTGAATAAAGAGGTACTTACCCAAAATACTTAAAAAAAAAAATTTTATTTAAAGAGGTTAACTTACCCACAAGTGCGTTACTCAATATATTTTTAAAACAAGCAAAAGTTTGATACTTACTCGCAAAAGGCGCTAAGTACAAAAAAAAAGCAATTTGCGCTAGAAACTGTGCTGCACACACACACACACACACATACACAAAAATACTGCTGCTGATTAGCCAGTGCCGTTTTCTGCTCAATATCGTTGCTGTAATTAAGGATTCTACAAAGTTTTCGCCAAGGAATGAAGTGCAGCTGTTTACTGTGCAAAAGGGAAGTTGAAGCTGGAAACGACCCAGTCCAGACAGAACAGGTATTGAGTGCTAACAATTAAAAGCTGCTGAGGTTGTTGTTTTTTGTTAAATTGCTGCCAAGATCACCCAACGAGCTTTAATTTTTGGCTTCTCTTGTATTCACTTTGAAATTAAATTGTTTGTTTATACAAATTTCGTGAAACAAGATTTCGGGATTTTTTAGTGAAAACTACCTCGTACAATTTCCGACAAGGCTCCGATTACCAAAACTGTCAAATATTTTTCGAAAGCTATACTGCTTTAATTGTTTGGGAAAATCGTTGACCATATTTTTTGCTCACGGTTAGGTCTTAAAAAACTTTCGACATCGCGTCTAGTTTTCCCAATTAAGGGATTATAAGCTTTTATCTCTTGATTTGCGCCTTTTTTTCGATAGTTCTGGTGAAGTTTCAGCGATTTTTTTTTCGTTTTCGTATTGCCACGTTGAAAACTTCCAGACTATAATTTTGTACAAAGTTACTGTGCATAGCGAATCAAGATGAGTAAAAGTGAGAGTCAGCCAGGCCAGGTGGAAGACGCTACTTCCTTAAAAAGACAAAGGACAATTTTAAAAAGAAGCATAGCTAGAATGAAAACGGGAATTCATGATAAGTCACTCTCATCAGATCCGTCGGAAGTTGAGTGTCGACTCGAAATGCTGAATAGTTACAGCGAAAAGCTTCTAGCGTGTCAGTCCGAAATAGAAGAGATCGATGAAGATGATGACACCCGTGACAGCCTTGAAGATTTAATTGTTGGAACCAAGGCAATGTTAAAATCCATATTATCAGAGAACAACAAGCACAAAGCTTCTGACACCTCCTTCACAGCGCCTCACAGCTCAAGACTTCCGAAAATGTCGCTGCCCAAGTTTCGAGGGCAGTATTCGGAGTTTAAAAATTTCATGAGTTTGTTTGAGAGCCTCGTTCATAACAACCCTGCGCTTTCAGACATTGAAAAATTCACACATTTAGTTTCGTGTTTGCCTGGTGAAGCCTTGGGAACGGTGAAGGCCTTCCAACTGACGGAAGAAAATTACCCGAAGGCGTTGGCAAGCCTGAAAAAGGTATATGATAATAAATGTCTCATATTTTCGAATACAGTTGCGAAACTGTTTGAGTTGCCGAAAATACAAAAGGCATCGTCGCTTTCGCTGCGGTCAATGATCGACACCGTATCAGCTGTATATGACTCCTTGTTGTCTTTGGGTGATGATAAAAATATTTCAAATGCGATGTTGATACATTTGGTAATGTCGAAGGTTGATCCCACTACGCGGTCAAAATGGGAGGAGCAACTTGACTACGACAAGCTTCCGCTGTGGAGTGAGTGTGAAGCGGCTCTCAATAAGAGATACCAGCACCTCTCATCTGAAGAAGCGTCGACATCGTCAAAATCGCACGACACCCAAAGGCAAAGCAACAAGAGTGCTGAAAAGCCAAAATCTTCTTTTGTGGCTGCGAAAGCTAAGCCAACTACTTGTTTCCACTGCAACTCCAAAGACCACTTTCTAACCACCTGCCCTAAATTTAAAACTCTCTCTCCTCAGCAGAGATTCGAATTCGCGAAATCGGTCCCATTGTGTATAAATTGCTTACGCAAGGGACATACGGTTTCTAAATGCAAATTTGAACGATGTCGAGTTTGTAACCGGTCACATCACACCATGTTACACCAATACCCGATATCGTTCGAAACAACACCACAACCTTCGACCTCACAAACTATGCACACAGTGAGCGTGCCTGATCGCGTCATGTTAGCGACAGCGGTGGTCAAGGTAAAAACTTGCTCCGGTGATTATGTGTCAGCTCGTGCGTTACTTGACTCAGGGTCTCAAGTAAATTTCATGACTGAAGAGCTGGCACAAAGGCTGCGAATTCGGCGAGAGAAGGCGACATTAAATGTCATCGGGATTGGTAATGCCACCCAAAAGGTTCGGTCAAAAGTTAGTGCAGTCATAAAATCCCGAGTTAACAACTTCGAGTTTCTCGCAGATTTTTGGGTAATGGGAGCGATTTCGGCAAATCACCCAGATCGGGCTGTTGACACCACAGGTTGGAAAATTCCAGCTAATATTGAATTAGCTGATCCGGGGTTCTATAAGTCCTCAAAGGTCGATCTTTTGTTGGGAGCCGAAACATTTTTCGATCTTCTGTCGGTTGGTCAAATTAAAACTGATCCAAGGTTCCCAACACTGCAAAAAACACTTTTGGGTTGGGTTATTTCAGGCAAATACGTCTCCCACCAAAGTGAGCATTCTCAAGCTAGCAGTGCCTTATGCAAAGCTGAAGATGATTCTGAAGCAATTGATGAAATTGTCCAAAGATTCTGGGCAATGGAAGAAATCCCTTCAGAATCACAAGCTACAAAGTTCACTGCCGAACAAAGGGAATGCGAGGAATACTTCGTTAAGACTACTGAAGTCTTACCGTCGGGACGGCTTCAAGTAAGATTGCCGTTCAAAACTGACCAAAATGCGTTGGGTCAGTCATTTGAAACCGCAGCTCGGCGGTTTCAGGCGCTGGAGAGACGTACGTTGAAAGATCCAGAACTTCGTCAAATGTATCTGGACTTCATGGAAGAGTACTTGGCATTGGGCCACATGAGCCCCACTGATAATAAAATCCCGAGTGAAGCCCACTATTTCATTCCGCATCAGTGTGTCTTAAGACCACAAAGTACGTCGACGAAACTCCGCGTTGTTTTCGATGCGTCGAGTCGGACGTCAACACAAATTGCGTTGAATGACATTTTGATGGTTGGACCGACCATTCAAGAAGAACTTTTTTCGACGCTACTTCGCTTTCGAATGCATAAGTATGCTATTACGGCGGACATCACTAAGATGTATCGCCAAGTTCTTGTAAATGAAAATGATAGAAATTTTCAATTAATAGTGTGGAGAAAGCATCCATCCGAGCCTCTGCAAATTTTTCGTTTAAACACCGTGACCTATGGCACTGCGCCAGCTCCATTTCTCGCAACACGGTGTTTGCAGATGCTAAGTGATGTGAATGCACAAAAATATCCACTCGGTGCCAAAGTAATAAGTACCGATTTTTACGTTGATGATCTGTTAACCGGATCTGAAGATTTTGAATCCCTCGACAGAGTTCGCTGTGAGGTAACTGACATTCTAAAGTCGGCAGGATTCCAGCTAGCTAAGTGGTTCTCTAACCACCCAAGTTTTTTCGATAGTCAGAGTCTGGAAAAATCGTTAAGTTTCAACGATTCAGACTCCACTAAAACGCTGGGAATCCACTGGTCGCCAAAAGACGACTTATTTCGGTTTAGACTGGATGATACATTTGATGAGTTACGAGCTACAAAACGAAATATTTTATCGGTATCTGCCCGGCTCTTTGATCCTCTTGGTTTGCTGGCCCCACTAGTGACCTCAGCTAAAATCTTATTGCAAGAGCTGTGGATTAAGAAACTAGATTGGGATGAGTCGATTCCGTTGTATCTCAACAGCAGTTGGCAGAATTTTAAAGCGAATTTGTTGCAGTTGCCTTCAATCAGCATTCCTCGGTTCGTTTATACTGAGTCGAGTGCTAATTGTCAAATACACGGCTTCGCCGACGCCTCAATAAGGGCTTATGGTTGTTGTATTTACATTCGAAGCCAATTCGCTAATGATGTTAAATGCATTCTGCTAACTGCAAAATCCAGGGTTGCTCCGCTGAAGACTAAGTCTCTTCCTCGTTTAGAGCTCCTGGCAGCGCATCTTTTGGCCAAGTTATGGTCACGCATTGCGCCAATGTTGAATCGACCTATTGACAGCATAACATTCTGGACAGACTCCGAAATAGTTTTGCATTGGATAAAAACACATCCATCAACGTTGCAAACTTTCGTTGCAAATAGAGTGTCCGAGATTCAAGAGTTGACTCAAAGTGCTTCGTGGCGGCATGTGCCAACTAAACAAAATCCTGCGGATCAAGTGTCTCGGGGTTGTAGCGTGGATGAAATACAGAACTCAATATGGTTTTCTGGCCCACAGTTCCTCTTAGAAGACCCCGCAAGTTGGCCAATAAATACCCATTTCGAATTAACGCCTGAAGAACAAGCACTGGAAAAGAAGAAAAACGCCAGCGCCTTAATAGCAGTGAGTGACAACCGTAATCCACTCTTAACTGTGATTGAAAAATATTCCTCGCACAAAAAATTATTACGAGTTTTTGCCTATATTCTGCGATGGGTCTTAAAGGTGAGAGATCGATCCACCAAATATGATCCAACACCATCGGCACAAGAGTTGCAATTAAGCTTCTTAAAAATTGTTCAAATAGTCCAATTTGATGAATATAGCCAAGAAATTACCAAATTGTCAAAAAATCTTCCACTACCGTCGAGCTTGCAAAAGTTGAATCCATTTTTGCATGAGTATTCAGAAAAGTCCTTGTCGTTGAAATTGTTACGAGTAGGCGGTCGTTTATTAAATGCGCCTATCCCGTACGATGCCAAATTTCCTCTATTATTGAGTAAAAATTCGCAGTTCGTGAATTCGTATATACGGTTCCTACATTTGCGCAACCACCATGCAGGTGCGAAAGCATTGGTTGCAATTTTACGTGAAAAAATTTGGTTAGTCAATGCTCGAGAAGCATGTAGTCGAACCGTGCGAAACTGCATACATTGCTTTCATTATAAGCCAAAATTGAAAAGCCAAATTATGGGCAATTTACCAGCCGATAGGCTGCGTGCTCTACGACCTTTTATGGTTTGTGGGGTAGATTTTTGCGGTCCAATTTACGTCACACAAAGGATACGGGGTCGCCCCCCGGTGAAAATGTACATTGCGGTCTTTGTGTGTTTTACCTCAAAAGCTGTCCATTTAGAACTTGTATCTGATTTAAGTTCTGATAAATTTATTCTCGCCCTTAAAAGGTTCGTTGGACGCCGGGGAATACCAGTGACGATTCACTGCGACAACGCGACGAATTTCGTAGGAGCCGATCGGAAGCTCAAGGAACTGAAGGAAGCGTTTCTGAGTCAGAAGGAGGAGGTAACCCAATACGCAGCGGACGAAGGGTTCAAGTTCACCTTTATACCTCCCAGGGCTCCCCACTTCGGCGGGTTATGGGAGGCCGCAGTGAAGTCGGCGAAGCACCTGCTCGTACGAGCCGTAGGCAACGCGAGTCTCACCGCCGAAGAAATAGAAACGCTGCTCGTCGAGGTAGAGGCCGTGCTCAACTCGCGCCCAATCGCTCCACTCAGCCAAGACCCGAACGACGGCGAGGCTCTAACTCCGGCGCACCTGTTGATCGGTTGCCGGCTCAGGGCAATGCCAGAGGAAACGGCACTCCCGGAACCCAGCACGCGCTACTCCGACAGATGGCAGCATGTCTGCTCAATCAAGCGTCGGTTTTGGCAAACGTGGTCCAGGAGTTACCTCCTGAGCTTGCAGGAGCGCAACAAATGGCAGCACCCACAGCCCAACGTAGAGGTAGGAGAGCTCGTCGTCGTTCACGAAGACAACGCCCCGCCCCAGCAATGGATCCTAGGCCGAGTGACAGGTACGATCGCCGGCCAGGACGGAAAGGTGAGAGTGGCCGACGTACAAACCAGAACCGGAACAATTAGGCTTCCGATACACAAGCTTGCCGTGTTACCATTAAACGACAGTTGAAGAATGCAGATTCGTTCAAGGTGGCCGGTGTTGAAGCAGGTTACTAATCTACGAAACTGAATACCTAAAATGAAATGTAAATAAATGACATGTAATTAAAAATTAATTTAAATAGAGTAATAATTATATATACTTACCTAAATGCCTAAATAAGATTTACCTTATACTTACCTTACATTTTACTATTACTTACCTTATACTTACCTTATAATTACTTTCTACTTACCTTGTTTTCCCTTTAAATGAAATTCGAGTTTACTTACCAATTTACTTACCTTTAGTTTTTAGCACCACCCTATTGTAAGTAAATGCATGGTTACAGTATTCTAATGTACCTATGTGCATGCGGTGTGTGTATGCCTACTGCAAGCACGGCTTTGCCCACGCTCTCTGGTACACATGCACACATACGTATGTTCATAGGTGCAGGCGAAGAGCTTACCGTTTTAATGTTGGAATTTGGAAGTTTAGGTAACTGCAAATTAGATGTAAGAAGAAATATTATAAAAGGAAGAAAATGAGAAATTAAAATGACAGTCTATGAGTAATCGATGCAATCGGCGGTGTTTTCCTTTTATGCGGATATTAAGCGACAGGCAATATTTTAAACAGTTAATTTGTGCTCCCCTAAATAAAAAATTACACTTAGTGAAAGTGAAGCTTTATTGCTAAAAAACATTAGCAATTTTTCAGCATCCTTAATGTCCTTAAGTTTTTAACGAACCTGCCATAATAGTTCACGAGCCCCATGAATACACGAACTTCTACACGGTTTGTTGGAACTTTCATATTCTGTATAGCCTGGAACTTGTTGCTCATTCGACAAATGCCTTCTTTGCTTGTTACGTACCCGAATATTCTAAACTGTCTTTCAAAAATTCAGATTTTTCCAAGTTAACATGCATGTTGTAGTGATCGAGCCGTTTAAGTACTTCCTCGACATTATCTGTATCATTAGCTGGTGCTGTCAGCTTTATATCGTCCAAGAAGCCTTCTCAATTAATCGCTGCCATTTTGCCGGGGAACTGGTGATGCCAAGCATCATGCGTGTTGGTTGGTACAATCCCCTCTGCGTGTTGAGCGTAAGAAGGTGCCTATCGTCTGGATGTAGCTCTAGTTGCAGGTATGCTGTTGCCAAATCGAGTTTCGAAAAATTTACGCCACTTGCCATTTTGTTAAACAGCTCATCTACTGTTGGTAGTGGATGTTCATCGACCAATAAAACCGGGTTCAACGTAACTTTCCCACACATTCGGACCCCACCACCCTATTTTGGCTCCACAATTGTCGTAACCCATTCGCTGGTTTTAACCTTCTTAGGAAGTCTTTCTGCTACTTGTGCATCCAATTGTTTCTCCAGTGCTTCCATTAATGGAAAACGAACTCTTTGGTGTTTCACAAATTTCGGCTCTTTTAGATACAAACGAGCTTGCAAGTCTTTAATTTTTCCGGTAGTGCTCCGAGAACACATTCGAGTATTTACTAATAAAATTTTCAATTTTACTGCTTTTTTGATTTTTCTGTATCTGGTTAATATTTTGCACACTGAGGCCCAATTTCAGATGGCCTATTTAAGTAGAGATTGTTGATTAACTTCCACTATTAATTTTCAGATCATACATTCAATCTGCACTTAAATGGCCAATATTGGCTATTTAAATATGAGATATGCAACCCTGTGTTATTACCAAACTACCAAGATTGATTGGTAGGTTGTTTAATCAACCCCACCCAATCCCACCAAAAACAATCAGCTGTTCAGCAGAAAATGTAAACAAACAAGCAAATGCAGCAACAATTTCAAGGAACAAGCAGCAGTGCTATCAATTTTTTGGCATATTTAAACATAGTTGATCTGAAGCCCAACGAAAATTAAATGGCAAAATTAAACTTAAGTGCCATTTAAATAGTCTTGAAACTGGCCCTAAGTATATCATTATTTATTATTTTATTCCAGTCTAGTCTACTCTCGCGTAGCCATTTTCTCTGCCTAGAAGTGGCTTGCAGTCAGAACGCACTACATGCTATTTCAGCATTTTATCACATTTCTCAATTGAAACTCGCACCCAGCTATAGCCTATACATTTCACAGGTGCTCCACAATAGCTTAATAGCTCGGTTGTACTGGTATTCAATTGCATGTCGGTGAAATGCTTTCATAAATCTTTATCGCTTAAAATTGAGACCGGGCAACCAGTATCCACCTCAAACGTGATGTAAATACCTCGCACACAATTTTCATTCGTATGTTGTTAACCTCAGCTGCTTCTACGTTGAACAATTCCTCCACTGCTTGTTTTCAGCGATTTAGGGCCGTTTTCTAATACAAGCAGTAAAGTTGCCTTTACTAACAGGACAGATAAATTGTTCCTCACTTTAAAGTGTTTTCGTTTTCTTACCTTGCCGGTAAAAATAAATTTGTTATTCCGTATAGTGAAACTTCACTACATTTCCGAGAGTGAAACTTCACTACATTTCCGAGAGCGAAACTTCACTACATTCGTCATAAAATTTCAAAGGTTGGCAACGCAACATAAGCAAATATAGCGCAGGAGCAACTGTTAGCAAAAACCAAAACCTTGGTTGAAATATCTAATATATCTGACTCATGAACCAAAACCAAACCAAAATTTAAAGTTGGGTACAAATTTTAAAGGTTGCATCGGGTGAGCAACAGTTTATCGATTCGAGAAATTAATGCGCTGATGAGAAAACGAAAACTCGTATATCGAGACGATAAAGTGGCTGGTAAACTAAAGGTTAGATGAGAAAACGGCCCTTAGTCAACTCGTTTTCTTTCCTTTTTACCTCCCTTTTATTAGCTCGGGATGTAACTATGTAATATTGATGCGCCTAAAAGATGCAGCGATTTCTATTCTCAAGTTACACACCTGATGTCAGTACAATTGGAAATTATAATAGCGAGGTTTTAGTTTTTTAAACTATAATTTTATTTTTCTTCTTTTGTTTCAAAAATGACATACATACTCTTGAATTTGCAGTTGTCTGGCGGTGCTGCCACATCAGAAATATTTCTTTTTATTGTCTTGAGTTTTTTTCAACTCTATCTCCTTTTTTACTTGCATTATTTTGCTTTATCCCTTTGTTCACATGCTATTTCTCGTTTTCTTGTGGTTCTTCGCCTCCTTTTTCGGCAAGTTCGTAGGCCGTCGCCATACTGATGGACTCTTTTAGACTAAGTTGTTTTTGCTTGAATAAATTGCTTTGAGTATTTTTATTAAATAACCCAAACACGAGTTGGTTTCGCAATGCTTTCGGAAGTTGTGTGTTCCCAAATAGCAATTCGTTGTTAATCGGCGTAACGCTACTGCAAACTATGCACCGGTTTCATCGGGTTTTTGCTTCCTCATGCTGAATCAAAAATGTTCTAGAATTTCGTTCGGTTTAGGATCAAAATGTGCTTCCAACACCACACTCGTTTTCTTTCCTTTTTGGTTTGAAACACATTTTCTTCAAATGGCCCGTTTTGTTTCAGAATGACATACATACTCTTGAAAATTGCAGCTGCCTGGCGGTGCTGCCATGTCAGAAACATTTCTTTTTATTGTCTTGATATTTTTTCAACACTTTATGTCCTTTTTTACTTGCATTATTATACTTTATCCCTTTGTTCACATGCTATTTCTCGTTTTCTTGTAGTTCTTCGCCTGCTTTTTCGGCAAGTTCGTATGCCGTCGCCATACTGATGGATTCTTCTAGACTAAGTGTTTTTTGCTTCAAAAATTGCTTTGAGTATTTTTATTAAATAACCCAAACACGAATTGGTTTCGCAATGCTTTCGGAAGGTGTGTTCCGAAATTGCAATTCGTTGTTAATCGGCGCAACGGCTACTGCAAACTGTGCACAGGTTTCATCGGGGATTTGCTTCCTCGTGTTGAATCGAAAATCTTCTAGAACTTCGTTCGGTTTAGGATCAAAATGTGCTTCCAACACCACACTTTCAAAAATCGAACGAGCGGAGCGGATATGGGGGCATTGATAATTAAATAATTTAAGTTTAATTGTTTAACAAATGGCAACTCTATTCGAAAAAGTGAAGCCTTTTTTCTTTGCACATCTACGGCCGAAGCCCTTTAATTTGAAAATCTAAAGAACGGTGTAGATCTGATGACCTGGACAACAAATCCCTTCGCTTAATATATATATAGATATTTCAATATACTCACTACAATTAGGGATACAAACGATGCATCGATATTTTTGGAATATCGATAAAATCGGTTAAAAATTCGATGTTTGTAATCGATGTTTACAGTTTCCTAAAATCGCTAAATTGACGATACATCGATGCCAGTTTCAGCGATGTTTTAACATCGACTTTAGTGTGACTCAGACGTGAATTCAACTTACCCATTATTCTTCTAAAATTTTTTTACTGGCCAAGAATTTTAGTACTTATTTTTTTGGGGAAAATTCAGAAATTCCGAGTGTGCTCTTATTTTTCGATATTAAAAATGCTGACTTAATCATTAAAAAAGGACCAGGTTCCCGTTGAAATTTCAACGAAAATGGGCCTTGGAACTTTAGGCTCAGCGAACTTACGACGGCATGCTTTTTTATTATATTTATAAGAAGGGTAAACGAATAGTAGACAAATACAGGGAAATACATCCATGTGCAAGTAAATATATTTCTAATTGAATTACAGAGAGTTGGAATTGAAAAGGATTCAATTTTCCTTTTAATGTGACTACAACCTAAAAAATTTTCAAACATCGCTAACCATCGGATATATCGATGTTTTTCTGGCGCTGTGTTTTAGCATCATTCATTTCATGTGTTCATTTTTCCGATGCATCGAAACATCGATGTATCGATGTTACTCCCAAAAATTTGCAGCCCTAGCTACAATGGTTGAATTGCGACTGACTTTATTCTACATTATACCGGCTAAAAAAAATTGTTTTCTTCTTTTTATGATTTAGTAGAGAAATGAGTTGCTCTACATTTCCAAAGACATTTTTTCAAAGCCTCTCCCCAATATCTTGAATATCGGCTTAG